TTGTATTGTATTTGCAAAGACGTGAAATTTCAATAAATTTCGACCTGATAAAAGTTTAATATAAAAAATTTTGTTATTAAATCATTTTATCATAAATAAGATATTTATATTTATATGTACCCATTCCTGGCCATTGCGAGCCTAAAGAAGAAAATATGAACCAAACAGGTCTTTTCGTATTATTGTAATTTTGAATTTCTCTTATCGACTTTTCTTGAAAAGTATTTAATATTACATATCCTCTCCATGAATGACCATCTATATCGTCTGCATAGACGTCATGTAGTAAACGAATATATTCTACATCTATTTGAGAATTAATAATCTGCAATTAAAAATTTTCTTAAAGTGACTGATTACGATGAAATTTTATTCCTAATTATCGAAAATTAAATAAAATTGTAATATCTACTAACGTCGTTTAAAAATAATTGTACTGATTTTTCGCTACTTCCGGATAATATTACGAGTCTTGGCAAATCGTCATTTGGTGCTCCGTTATTAATTTTTTGTTTCTCATTCCATTTTAATAACATATGAGCGTTAGATCCTCCAAAACCGAAAGAACTGATACCTATATAACCATTTTTAAGCGGCATTGCTTCTTGGACAACGCAAACAGTACCATTTATCAAGGCACCTATATCCTACCGCGGTGATGTATAATTGATATTTGGTGGAACAAAACCGGTTTCCATTGCTATTATCACCTTTCAAAATCAGTAACCGTTTTAACATTTATGCTTTGGTTAATTTATTAGACGTGATTGATTAATGATGTATTAAATAATTAATACTTCATATGTGACATTGATGTAAATATATAATAATAGTTAAATATATAATAATAGATATATTAATTTATTACTACTCTAATAATAGATATACTAGTTTACTACTACTAATACTATTGTATTAGTTTTAACGGAAAAGAAAAAAATTTAAATTAAAGTTTTTCAAATTCTCTCTCTCTCTTTCTCTCTCTCGCTCTCTCGCTCTCTCGCTCTCTCACTCTGTGTGTGTGTGTGTGGGGGGGGGGGGGGGGTAGAGATGTGTCTAGAGATATATGTGTATAGATGAGATATGTATGTATGTATGTTTGTATAAAAATAGTATTAAATTTTGAACCTTAGCAATTTGAGAAAAACCACTGGCAGCTTCAGCATAACCAACGTTGGATTTTACGGAGCCGATCATTAACGGATTTTCTCTATTTTTACATAAAGCATTATTTATGGCATTGACTTCCGCAGGATCACCAGCTATGGTAGCGGTTCCATGTGCTTCCATATAATCTAAACAAGATATCGGAATTTCGCATTCGTTATAAAATTCCCTTAATAACATACTTTGCATAAGCGTCGAAGGAAATGTTATTCCTTCTTCTTTATAACCATCGCTGTTTATTTTAATATGCGGACATGTCGCATAAATTCTTTTCGCATTCTTCGCCTTTTGGAGGTATAACGCAGCCACTGTTTCGCTACGTGAATAACCATTTGCGGCACTATCAAAAGGTCTGCAGTAACCATCAGGTGACAAAACACCTGAAATTTATACATGATGTATATATACATGATACATATTTTAAGAATTAGTAGAGTATATATATCTTATTAATAAAAATATATAATATTCAAGTGCAGCAGAATTTTATAATGATCATCTTTATTGAAAATTACAACAAATTTTTGCCTCTTTTTAATAGATGGAAAAATTTAATTTATCTTAATATATATAAATTAATTATTTTTAATACCTAAAGACGTTGAGTAACTGAAAATTCACTATTGGATGTAAGCATAAAGATGTAGCCCAATTATCGCATCTTGCATTTGCCTGACATGATGCAATGATAACCAAGAG